AATGGAAAGTCAGCATATTACAAGGACTGTATGAGAATGCCGTGCACCTCTGCTGCAGTATTTAGGGAGAAATGGGCACTTCATGACAGGTCACGATCTTGTCTCCACATTGGGAAAAGGCAAACATTCACTTGCGTCAATGTGGCCTTCCAGATGTTGTTCAGTTTCAACTCTCATCAGACCTAGGTAGCATGGGCAGTGGTGAAGCATTATGGGCATTGTTGTTCAGCAACAATCTGGAGGATCACAGCCTTGATGAACATGTAAGAAATGCAGGATGTACAGAACAAACAAGTTCCTTACCCATGGTGTCCTCTCCACCTCACTGTTTTCAGAGCATATTCCTTCTACCAGTGGTAGTCCAGACTACATTCCATTTACTCAGTTCCTCAGACCTTGCTTAGAATCCTCATCATCATCATCATCATCATCAATCATCAATCATCAATCATCAATATGATGTTCCATTGAATAAATTCTGACATATGGTGACCCTTTTCAGGGGTTTTCTAGGTAGAGAGTACTCAGAAGCTGTTTACCCCTCCCTGCTTCTGAAGACATCCTTGGTTTGCGCAGCTTGCCCATGGCCACACAAGCTGACTCTTCCTAGGAGGTGCAGTGGGGAATTGAACTCCCAACTTCTGGTTTTGCAGCCAGATACCTAACTCACTGAGTTATCCAGCTAGCTATTCCTTACTTGGAAAAGACTTTATCAACATTACCAAAAAGTGCCATAGTCTTCTGGAATGGTGCTTAGGATGAGGACAGCTTTGAAGTGCAGTCATTCCACAGATGCTTATGCGCACAGTGATGTATTCATATATCTTTCAATCTGTGGAAATTGAGGGGGGGGAATGCCTAATGTTTGTCAGCTGCAGTGTGGAAGGACTGCCTTCCTATATGCTTTACTATGCACAGGACTGCAGGTAGAAATTCCAGGGGAGGTTGGTAGCAATGGGGAGTGGGTAAATAATGATGTAATATTAACAACTCTCTTTGCAGTAAAGGGCTTACCCCTGTACTCTGTTTAGAGAATGACATACCAGTTGTGTTGTTATTTATTAATATGACCTGGTGTGTTTTTTCACACCTCACAGAATGTTGTAAGCAGAACATCCTGGCTGCAAGGAGCTTACAATCTAAAATTTTGCACTTTAGTTTTCTCCTTCAATACTTGACCACTGGTTCATTGTCGATATATACATCTTTTCTGAGATGTTTGGTTTTTTTAGAGTTTTTGAAGTAAACTCATGTGCCTTTTATTGATGCTTGTAAGTTCATTTAATGCATGCAGCTTCACAATAGTTATGGCACATGGTTTTCCACTGGAAGCAAATGCTTTTTTGTACTCCTGATATGCTTGATTTCTGGGGAAGACAACCTCACCCCTCATTCCAACTCCCTCCAGGAATCTTTTTATGTCTCTGCCAGGTCTTGAATGGTAGGCTACCTGCTTTGCTTAGGGGAGGTCCCCAATTCCATGCCCAGCATCTCCAAGGAGGAATGAGGAACTTTCTGCCTGAAACCATGGAGATCTGCTGCCAGTCAGTGTCAGCAATACTGAATGAGATGGATCAAAGTCCTGACACAGTACAACACAGTTTCCTCAGTTCCTGTTGGCTTCTGGACACCTTCTCTGGGATACATTTGTGTGAAATCAGAGATGTTTCAGAGAGTCTTTTTTCCCCTTCAGATCTCTTGACTGCCCGTGTGCTAGTGTTGGAATCCATTTGCACTACTACCTCACTGATGCCTATGTCCTGAAGAAAGCACCAAATATTGCATGATACTTAAAAAAATCAGAAGGACCGGAGTGGTTTGTAGACTGGTTGCAAGAACAGCTGTCCTAACTAGGCACCTGGGAATGTGTTTTTAGTTAGGATCATTCATTAACAAAGAGTCCATCATGACCTTGGGCTAGTCCCTCTGTCTCAGCCTAACCTTTAGAGGGTTGCTGTGGGGATAAGATGGCGTAGAGGAAAGCCACCTAGGGAGCCCTGAGCCCACTGAAGGGAACATGGGATATAAGTATAACAAATATATTGCCACAAAGTAAGTGTGATCCCAAGACTGCTTAGGTTAGAAAACTTGGACGCAGCAACTTGTTGGAAGCAACACAAACACATTGAAGTAATGGGTCCTTTTTAGAGGAGGCCAGACCATTCTCAATAAAAATAGCAGCCACCTTTGGGCAGTGAGATTTCCTCCCCGCCCCCGATCTAGTCTATGGTTTTCTTGTTCCTACATGAGTGAATGGCAGCCATTCTATTTTCTACAAGAAAGCAAGATAGTGTTCCTTGGGACACCCCTGGGGAGGGAGCTAACTGTGCCCTTGCCGTCCATCTATGGCTTCAGTCTCTGAGATCAGGATCAGGTAGCTCACTGAACTGTACTGTATACCAGCTGGCGGCCAGTTCAACTTGACTGATCAAACTTAGTAAAAAATAGAGTTTGTCCAAGCCCTGAAATGTATAGGCAGAAGTCACACAATTTTTCAATGTAGTGTGTGTGTGTGTGTGTGTGTGTGTGTGTGTGTGTGTGTGTGTGTGTGTGTGTGTGTGTGTGTGTGTGAAATGTCTTGCACCTATTCCTCATTCATGCTCTTCACATAACCCCAGGAAAAAGGACAATGGTATGAACAATGCACTGCCTGTTGGAACCACAGTGCTAGCATGATGATTAAACCCAATGAAGTCAGGCTTTCAATGTTTTGAAGATGCCCCCTGTCCCTCACTACAGGTAGCAGAATGGAAAGAAAAGAGTGGAAGCAGAAAATGCTGCAGAACAAATGTTGCATAGGTCACAGGTTGCAGGTTCCACAGTGATGGTGGAATATTTGGATTAATCATAAATAAGTGTGTGCTGCCAAATTAATTCTGACTTATAGTGATCCTTTCCAGGGTTTTCTAGGAAGAGAGTACTCGGAAGTGCTTTCCTTCTTCTGGGGGTACCCTAGGACTGTGCAGCCTGCCCAAGGCCACATAGGCTGGCTCTTCTCCCAGGAGGCACAGTGGGGAATTGGGTCCAGAAACCCCTACGGAGGTTGTGGCCTCTGGGTTCACAACCACATACCTAAACTACTAAGCTATACAGCCAGCTCAACATTTCAGTGGCCTTGGTGCAAAACTGTATTATTCAAGTGATGGACTGCAAGATAATGCACAGCCCTCCTTGTACTGTGGTGCAAAATGGAATCTGACATGGTTCTAGAGAAAACACATGTAGAGATAGACACCTGTCAATATTTGAAGCTACCACAGCACATTTCTCATGAAAAATTGGTAGCTTGCCATATGGACACATTAGAAAATAGTTAGGCAAAGGTAGTGGCATAATATCTAGATTAGGATCAACCAGTGGGCAAGTCACACACATTACACATAGTGATTCAACGGACTGAAAACAGAGGTTTAAGACTTCAGTGAACTAGTACCTCCTTTTGACTGATTTATGTGTTCTCTGATTCACTAGAGAAATCTGATTAGCTGGATTAAACAAAGCTGAGGGTGGCTTTGAGGAAGAACCTTGTATACTACATCACTGAGCAAACTAATAGGTTTGTTGAAATCCTGGTTGCACAACTACAATGCAAGTACTAAGGAAGACGGTGGTAAGTGGCAGGTGCCATCTCTGGAGTGGCCCTCCCTGTGCCATCCCCTCCCCTCCTACTCTAACACCTACCTGCGTCATTTAAAAATCCCAATGAAGTGCAATCCTATGCATGACTCCTCGGAGGTAAGCCCCGCTTCGTCCAGTGCGACTTTCTTTCTGATAAATTGGCTGATCAGTTAGTTGGTGATATGGCTCATGTGGTGGATGAGTTGTGGTTTCTTTGCTCCCACGGTGACCCTGCCACTAGTAGCCGGCTCACTTTCTAAAACCAAGCGGAGTATCTTTTCTTATCCTTCGGAGGTGTTGATTTTATTGATACAAGCACACGTAATTTATTTAATCGTATCCCCTCTTTTGCTCTTAGGCCACGAAGAGCCCAATGCTGTGCTACACCCATTCACTCGGAAAGCAAGTCCCGCCGAATTCAGAGGGTATTACTCCCGGGTAAGCAGGGCGGCCCCTAGTCCCAGCAGCGGGACTTCCTCCTGCGTGACCACGGGTGGGATCGGGTTCGGCAACTGCGCTCCTCGGGTGGCATTCCCAAGGCGGTGATGGTGGGGCTGTTTTAAAACATATGCTCTTAGAAGAGGGAAAGGGAGCGGGGAGGAGGCGCGTCTGCCGCAGACAAATGCTTCGAAGCGGACCCTGTAATTATCGGTGGATCCCCCTCCCCTCGGTGGTGTCTTTGGCTGCCCTGAAGCACTTTAGCAACGGGGAGAGGAGCGGTGTCGGAGCGCTGGGTGTGTGTGTGTGGAAGCACCAGCGAGCGAGGAGAGCGAGGGAGGTATGCGTGCGAAGTGTGTCTGCAAGAAAGAAGGAGAGAGAGAGCGAGAGCGAGAGCGAGCGAGAGAGAGATCCTCCTACCTGAAGCTACAGATCGCAAGATACGTGGAGTTACCTGAGGAAGTCAGAACAAGTAGAAACGCATTGAACTTCAAGGCGGCGGCGGCGGCGGCGGCGGGGCAGGCGATCGGGACCCGGGTGGCTGGCGCTCGTGCCCGCGGGGCGCTTCCCTGCCTCCCGAAGCCCGGCTCCAGGGGTTGGGGGGCGCGCCTTTCTCCGCCATGCACGAAGCCCCCGCCGCCGGCCAGGTGGAGTCCCCTTCGGTGGCGCTCGGGCCCCCCCGGCTCTCGGGGGAGGTGACGGTCTGAGCGAGGCGCGCTCGCCTGCCCAGCGCTTGGGCGAGCGGCTCTCGGCGGGGATTGCACCGGCGGACCGAGCGCCCTTTCGGCTCCTTCGG